TGTTAGGGGGGGAGGGGGGGGGGGTCCCCATCATTAAAGAGGGCCCAACATTAGCCCCCGCCAGCTCTTCCATGCCGGCCATGTTCGGAATCAGATGTCGTAGTACTGCTTTATGTCTTTAGATGGCAAAGTGGTCACCGCAGGCCGTTTCCGTCTATATTTGCTAGCGCGATGCTAGCGGCAACCTAGCACATATTTGCCTCGTGATTTGGAATTTTTGGCACGCTGGCAGTATGCATCTGGAGCAAACACTGCAATGCATCTAGACATGTCACTTAATTGTCATTCTCTGGGATTAGAAAAGGTTTGAGATCGGTCCTACAGGTGCAGATTTCCTCCTTTTGCCAAGCCATGCCCTCGACGCCAGCTACCCTACCCTACAAGCCGAAAGGCTATTTTTTCGCACGCAAGCGTCCTCGGCTCATACCATGTCATCTTTGGAAACCGTTACCATAGGCCTTGTGATCAAAGGAATACCTAGCGCCACGCTAGCGCTATCCTAGCGCCTACATGGGGGAGAGCCCGAAACCTGCATATACGCGTGGTGCCGCCTTATAGCGAAGACTAATCCGGCAAGAGCAGAACCTCGTATCGCACTTCTATCATATTTTGCATACATGGTTTTTGACGTCCGCCCATATGAAGTTTGCAGGTCCAAGAATGAACAACTGAAGATTGATAGATTTTGATAGCTTGATTTTGCTGCCCCCCCTTGCACAGGGTGCTGCGGCCCAGTGGTCGACACGTCCGGGCTCAGAGGATCTTGGGTGGTGTTCGGTGGCTTATACAGTTCCCGAGGAATCTAGTCCACATCAGTCTAGGTTTAATGTCCACGAAATATCTCAGGTCTTCATATATTAAATGTGGGAGCGGCAGGCAGTTCGGGCTCAGGTTGCTGTTTGAGTGCTGTTTGCTTGCTTTGCCGGGAGCTACGGCCCAGAGGTCGTGGGAAGTTTGGGTTGAAGTTCCAAGTGCCTTGGGTGGGTTTAGTTGGATTGGTTCAAGGTTTGGGTGGGTTGCCCTGCGGTGGTGGAAGCCGCCAATTTGGCAGGGTGGACCGCTCAAGGGTCCCTGTGGATGTGGCCATTTCTGCTCCAGTGTGGCGTCGTAGCGCACTGTGAGTACTACCGCTTAAGCCAAAATGGCAACAGTTAGAATGTCTTTGTGACTGAAGACAGGATGCAGCTGTCGCTGCGGTTGAGTGCCCACTTCGTCTTCGCTTAGAAGGGGTGATCTGATAGTGTCTTAAGTCCGTCTGCTTCTTGAAGGCCCAGGAAGATTATATTACGAGAGCAAACTTGCGCGGAATCTGCAGAATCTGAAATGGAACTCCTCCTCCGGCTTCAGCAGCTCCACTCGCACCTGTAAGGCGAGAAGTTGGTCTTTGCTGACGCTGAGCTGCTGGAATTTAAAGCCTCCTCACGGCTGTGCGCAAAGGCACAAAGCTTTCCTCTCTGGCACGAGGACACCTCCATCAGCAAGATGTTTACCACCTTTGAGTTTTGCAGAAATCTTCTCTTAGTTTTGACCTCAGGGAAAGTGGCGCAGAAGCGGCGCTTGAAGACTGTGTCCTCACTTAAGGCATGCAAAGTTAGTACGCTGTAGCTGTGAGAAGGAGGGGAAAGCTGATAAAGCTGAGGGCGAGACGTGGTAAAGCAGTTCCTGAAAAGTGTTTTCCGTGAGTTTCTGTGAGAGAGCAATGGCAAGACAGAGACATGCAAAGGCTCCACCAGGACCAAGAGCGGTGCCAGGCGATTGTGGCAGAGGTGGCAAGCGTCTCCGCGCGAGCAACTGGACAAGACGAGAGAAGAGACGAAAGAAACAGAAACACAACAACGTTCAGCAGAAGTTCAGCAGCGGAATCCTTTTCAGAAGAAGGAGAAGGGGAGAGAGAGAAACAGGAGGAGAGGTGCGGCTTTCGCTTTTCGCGGCCTCCGAGATGAGCCGGTTCCCGAGCCTTAACAGAGCCGAAGAGAGCGGAAAAGGGACGACTTCACTTCACTTCTTCCAAGCAACTAAAAAAAAAGAGACTTGTCTAAAGGATTCTTATAGGGTTCTTATAGAGAAGAAGAACTCTTTTCCTACGCCCAAATTGCCTTCCCGTGAGTCCGCCATGGAGTCAAAGCACCTCAGCCATCGAAAGCTAGAGAGCTGGAGAATGAGAGCTGAGTTCAGTGAGATTCCAAAAGAGAGATCCGGAAGCATTTCCATATCATGTGCAACTATAAGCTTGCAACTTGAGTTTCTCCATTTTTCCTGGGCTTCCGGCTCGTCGCAGGGCTCGGGGAGGTAGGTCCCCGGAGGCCGGCGACGGTCCCGTGGGTTGTGGAAGAACGGGCAGAGCTTCCGATCGTGGACACCTAGCGTATCCACAAAACCCTCTTTTCAAGAACTGCCCAAGGATTTGGGAGGATTTGCCCCGCGCACCTCGCCCTTTGCGGCATGGAAAAACCTCAAGTCTGATGACTATCAGCATATGGATCAGCATGCTTCCAACAAATTCGCAAAAAAAACATCCTGCCTTGAAGGTATTCAGATCCACGTTTGGTCCTCCCGCCAGGAATTCTGAACATCTTTCAAGTTCCAAACCAATCTACTACAGATCCATGTCCTTCAGAGACCTTCTCCTGAGAAGCTGAGAAGGAGATGGGGCACATCGGCACATCAGCTCTGGGCCGCGGGCGGGGCCCTCAAAAGCCTCCGCAGCCTCCACAGCTTCCGCAGCCTCCAGCTGGTAGCTCGAGTAGCTCGAGTTCTTCGGCTCGTTCGGGGGAGCTGGAGTGGCTACGCCAGTAGCGTTGGCTGGAGCAGCTGGAAAAGGGGTGCCTCTCAGGCAAAGATCAAAGTGAGAGAAAGCTCTGAACAGCTCATGTCACTTCTTCTCAGCTCCTTGGGTCTGGGAGTAGCGAGCAGAAGCTTTGGTTCGCAGCTCCTCAAAATTTGAAGCGGCTTTTGATGGCTTTTGCTAGCATCGCAGCATCGATCGACGCACGGGCCGTCGTGGAGCACGCATCCACATCCACGTGCACGTGAACAATACACTCAAGCTGCACAAGATTCCTTTCACCCTGCGAATAGTGTAATCTTTGGCACCTTGCGCGAAAGAAGCTACATCCGAAGGAATCAAAACGTGCTACGAGACCACCGTCAAGGTCTGTAAGCTCGGCTCGGCTCTCCTTGTCCAAGTGCGCAAAGCAGCAGGTGGCCTTCTGGCAGTCAGCGCCTGAAGCAAAGAAGCAAAGTGCAAGATGAATGCAACGACTTGCAAAGCGTCTTGCAAAGCTGTGCAAAGCTGGCCGAGCACCGTTGCAGACTCGCGTCTTGTACTTTGCTGGATGATAAGAGATCTCACCCTTGGAGTGAGCCAGCGTACATCGGTCCCCAAGAGGGCACCTGCATGCCCGGCATGCCCCTTGCACACCTCTCGCATCTCTCGCATCTCTTTCCCTCTGGGCCAGGAGCTTGTTGGGCTGAGAGATCCACTTGCACGGGAGCCTCTGCAGGTCAGGTACAGTCGAGAGCCCAAAGGCTTGAAGCTTGGTGCCCAGCTCCCAGTAGCGGAGCCGTTGATCTTCACCTATTGGTGGACGCCGCCGCTGGCCCTGACACAGAGTGGATCGGCCAAGTCCGAACCGCACAAAGCCAAATACGCCCAGGCACATCTGGCACATGTGGCACTGCGGGCATTGCAAGCAAACTGCGACATCCTCATCTCTACACGATTCCGTGCTTCTCTGTTGACTTTTGTCCGTTTCCTTCCAACACATTTCCTTGAAAAGCATTCGGGAGCACAGCCACAGTGGCACGGTGGCACGGTGGGAAGTTCTACCCGAAGACCTCTGGCCGATGCCCAAAAAAAGGAAGAAACTCCCCGCGGCTTTGCCTCGAAGTGAAAGTGAAAGCACCTTGCGGCAGCAAGCGGCAGCAAGCGACCTTGAGAAACCGAAAGTTCTGAGCCCCTCGCTGCATTGGCTTGTGGAGCTCGCAGTGCCCAGCCTCTGCAAGCTCCACGGGTGTTGCATATTCTCAAAAGGCTATTTCAGATGCCTTAACATGTCTGGAAGCTGGCTGAAGGCAAAGGGAGATGCCGCAAAACAGCTGTAGCAGCTGTCGAAGTCAAAGACGAGTCTCTAAAAACTCTAAGTCTCCAAAAAGCTTTCAGCTTTGCCGCGGCTTGGACGCTCAGCTTCGCAGTCATCCCTCTCACCATTTCTCATATGCGTGGTCTGACCCTGAAACTCCCTGAATCTCGAGAGTTCAGTGGACAAGAAGCCTGAAAGTCGGGGCACTTCTCGGTCCTGCAATACCTGGCAAGCACTGGCAAAGCAGCGCAAGGCTCTTCGCGTCCGAGCGATTCGGCTTCGCCTGATGAAGCGCTCGGCGTCGCCGGGCTCCGGCTGCCAGAAAGGCAACGACGGCAACGGCGACGACGGCAAGGAAAGGACGCCTCCTATCGCCACTTCAGGGCCTCTCAAGGGAGAAAGAGAGAGAGGGAGAGAGAGGGAGGGAGGGAGAGAGAGCGAGAGGGAGGGAGAGGGAGAGAGAGGAGGAGAGGGAGAGCGGGAGGAAGAGGAACACGGAAAAGTGGTTCAATTCTCAAGCCCCCGACGGACCGCTTTGCCCTCCTGGCCAAGGAATTGAGAACATGTCCACAACCAAACTTCCAGTGGGGCCTGTCGGGTCCGGGCTTCAGGCTTTCTGTTGGAGGTGTTGGCTTTCTGCATCCTGAGAAAGAAGGGTGCCTTTTGCCTTTGCCATTTTTGCACTTTCTGAAAGGGCGCTGCCTCACGAGAAGGGCGTCCTTTCCCGCGCTCCAGTGCCATGCTTTGGCCGCCCGCGCTTACTGGGCCAACTGAGCTGTGCCTCGAGCCAAGCAGGAGATTCAAACTCTGCAACCTCTGCCTCAGCACACACCTTGGGTGTGAGCTTCTAAAGTTCTAGAGGGAAACCCAAGCATCCGTGGCTTTGCTTCAAGGCAAGTGCATCCAGGACCGTCTCTCATGTGAGCAGTCTTCCCACAAGCCAGATTACTGGCCCAAGACTTACGTCATCGCTTGTCCCCATTTTTGAGACTTTGTACACGAGAGCTCTTGCTCTGCTTGCCATGACAAAGCTCTCTGCGTCTTGCCCTCAGTGAACTCGCTGAGAGAAATGGCCTCTCAGGGAGCCAGGTGCATCTTCACCCCGCTGTCCTTCCCCTCTCTTTGGCATGCAATGGGGTGGATGCGGGCTCGAGCAAGATGCTGACATTAAACATTGCAGCTTAGCAGGATTGAACGAAAAGCCAAACAACAGATTTCGCCTTACAACAGCTATTCGTGCCGCCGTGTTCTAGGATTTGACCTTTTGGCTTTTCACCGTTCATCTTCCGGGTGTCTCCAGGCTGCACCCTCCGCCACGTGCCCTGCCCTGCTTGGGGACCCGCCCTTGCCCCATGTCCTTGCTTCACTGGCTCCAGCTGGCTCCAGCTGGCTCCAGCTGCACAGCTTGTCCCCACTTCTGCCCACTTCACCCCCTTTTTTTTCAAGTCGACATGGTTCGGACCAGGGCTTGAGCCTGCATTTCCCATCTGGGCTCAGAGTTCCCAACATGCAGACAAACAAGTCTGGACCCAATGGAGTACTCAGGGGGCTGCGGATTAGATCCTGGTTCTGCTCATCGTCATCATCAGGCGCTGGCGTTGCCATAGCCTGCGCAAGCTGCGCGAGGACAGGGGTCTAATGCAGCGTCGGTTTCGGAACAGGAGCACTGCAAGTCCGACCTCAGGAGTGCTGGGAGCACCGGCACCGGCTGAGCTCGTGGAGATTGTGCGGAGCCTGCGTTACGCTGCGCTAGATTCACGTCTCTCGATGCTCACACATTATGCTCTTGCCATCTTAGCCATCAAGGTGCTTAAACATCAGGCGAGTCACGGGGTCGGCTGCTCCATGAACTCGGCAGAGTTCTCAGCAACGGTCACCTATTGAATATTGCATGTTGAGCCATGTCATGTCAGGACGCATGCCGAAATTGCAAGGCCGCCTGCTCACGTGGGCCCTCGTCGTCTTTGGGCACACTGCAAGCAGGCTGCAAGCAGGCAAGATGATAGGACGTCAAAAGCTGTTGGACATGCTCTGCAGGACGTCAACTCTGCAGACTCTAGCCCTGCTTGCTTTTCTTGCGAGGCAACGCGTTCAACTGAAGCAGCAGTACCAGCAGCCGCTGCAGCCGCAGGAGCAGAAGCGGTGGCCACAGCGTCAGTGGCAGTTGCAGGAACAGCAGACAGAGTAGCCATCCCAGTAGAAGCACGCCGCATAGTAGTGGCAGAAGAGTTATAGAGCAATTGGAGGACATCGGAGCAACTCGTGCTTCCTTTGTGTGGCAAGGCTACCTCAGTGGCCCCAGCCTCCCACACATTCCTCCACTGGGCAAAGGGTCTCCTGTGGGGTGATGAGAGTCAAATGTAAGCAGGGCGGCGGCCCCACCCCCAACACCCTCGCCACCGCCACCGGACTCCAGCACCAAAGCAACGTACAGTCTAACCAGATATGATTTCGTTCAGGGCGCTTGGGTACCCGGAGCATGTTGGATACAGCGGGATTTCGTCAGGACTGGGGTTACCGCTGCACTGCTGCCTCTGGCGGCTGCTGCTGCTGATCCTACGACGACGACGGCTACTACTACTGCTATCGTGCCCCACGACCCTGACCACAACTACGGCCACAACAACGACGAAGTATCAGTAGTAGTAGTCGTCGTCGTCGTCGTCGTAGTAGTAGTAGTAGTAGTTAGGAATAATAATAGTAATAGTGGTAGTAGCAATAATAGTAATAGTAATAGTAATAGTAATAGTAATAGTAATAGTAATAGTAATAGTAACAATAATAGTCGTAATCGTAGTCGTAATAGTAGTGGTAGTATTCGCTGTAGGAGTAGTAGTAGTAGTAGTAGTAGTAGTAAGAGTAGGCAACGCGGAACAGTATTGTTGAGCTAGGAAATTTCGGGGGAAAACTACTTGTGTTTTCAAGAGTTTTGACACTTCAAGCAATGGAAGTGCGTAGTGGGCTCGTCTACCTCCACCCGCCCATGGATGCGATGTACGGGGCCACTGTGGCAATCACAGACGAAAAGGCAGAGGCCGGGTCCGAAGTCCTTGGCAGTCACAAGTAGTCAGTATCGTGCGTCTGTTGTTGTCTCATGTCTCGCAGACAAGAGACGTCTTGTACGTGCTTGTACCGGTCGCAAAGTTTTTCAGGAAGGTCGCTGAGATGCTTTGGGAATGGGATGCTTTTGGAAATGAACGTTAATTAATACTATTTGGGCATGGATGCTTTGGGAATGGGATGCTTTCGGGAGTGGACGTTATTATTCTTTGGGCATGGATGCTTTGGGAATGGGATGCTCTCGAGAATGGACGTTATCATGGTTTGGGCGATGGATGCTTTGGGAATGGGATGCTCTCGGGAATGGATGTGATAATGGCTTGGGCATGGATGCTCTGGTAATGGGATGCTGTCGAACATGGTCGTTATTATGGTTTGCTCTGGTAATGGTCTGGTATGCTTTTAAACATGGACGTTGTTCTGGCTTGGGCATGGATGCTATGCTAATCGTCTGCTTTCGAACATGGAAATTGTTTTGGTTTGGGCATAAGTCCTCTGTAAGCCTTCACCTTGAAAGATATAAACGTTTTTGTCTCCGGGACACCCCATGCGTAATTGCGTGGGGCGCCCAATGCACGAAGTGGACACTCCAAACCCACAACAGGGCCGAAGCGCGGCCTTGTTTGCTGGTGACTCACGGAGTTATTGCGTGAGGCCACCACCATGGTATGCGAATTGCGCATGTCGCGACGAGTGTGCGTGGGACGATCTACACCAAAAAGGCCACCATAACTTCAACAGCACCTAGCCGGCTGAAACCTCAGAAGATGAGTTTGGCAAGCAACAAGTCAGTCTCTGGGTAATTCCCGCAAGGATGCGAGCTTCAGGTTTCCACGAGGAATCCGGATACAGTGGATATACGACAGGGTTGTCCATGGGGCCATGGGGTGAGGCACGTCCAAGCGGTGTGACAGGAAAGGCGGCAAAAACTTTGACCTCACAAAAACTGGCGCGATAGAGATTTCAGGGCGATGTGCTTCTGTAGACAGAATGGTTCAACTGCCATACCTTGACATGAGTCATGCGCAAACCAGGATTCCGTCAGTTCTTCAATACGCCAGCACTTGTTCTGGTTGCAGCGGAAGCAGAAAGCAGTACGTGTTGCCAGCGGCAAAAATCAAGCCATGCACTATCATTGTGTGAGCCGGCGGCGCAAACATCGTTGAGTCAGGCCGTGGTTCCGCAGAAAGAGCCATGAGCCTACGGATGTGGGCGAGTTTGTCACAAACTGTTTGTGTCATTAACATATGTCAAGCCCAAGCAGTGCGGTGGATACACGAATACTTTCCCCTTTTCGTGCCGGTCGCTGCACCATTTACAAAGAGAAGGAATGCAGTGCAAATCAAGTTTCTGAACAATGCTCGAGTCGGCAAGTCTTCATCAGCCTTGGCAACACCCAGCTACGCAACCGAAACCAGCTTTTTGTAAGGTTTCAAAAAAGTATCCACGCATAACATGTCTCAAAATGGCTTGGTGTGTCATTAGCGCAAAGCATGGCTCAAAAAGTTCCATCGGCGTTGTCTCGCTTTGCCTGTTTACACTACTTGGTTCTGGTACAATATCCAGGGAGTGGCGATTATTCACCAGATCGAAGACCTTGCAGTGAAGACAGCGAAGAGGCACGTAATGAGGAAAACCCAGGGCCCCGAAAAATATAAGCTCTTTTTCAGGATTTCGCAGAGCCAAACGCCGCATTCAGCCCCCTTTCCCAATATGCAAGCAACCTTGACTGTGTAACAGAATGTGTATCTCCTGATTTTCAGCACCGTGAGTTTTCCGCATACAGTAGTTAAGCAATTTAACGCCGTCTCAAAACGCTCTTAAACCCTACAGGTTCTATCCGAGGATTGTAGTGACGCACGATCTCCGTTAATTTCCAGCTGTTCCAGCCTTCCTTCTACGTTTTATTGAAAATGCTGCAGCCCAAAACGACCAGTCGATTACGATCGTGTCAAGAGCCGACCAAAGTAGTTACCTTTGCAGTTTTCTGACCGCGAACGACTCGAGACACGCAAACTACTGAGACACGCGGTAGTTTTGCAACGTTGCAAAGACAGACACTTGCCACAAAGCACTACGACCAGTTAGGATCGCGACGCCTTGTACTATAGCAGTGCCCCGCATGCCTTTACATACGGTTTGCGAACATCCACATTGGCCAAGTACCCTGCACGTTCGACCTTATATGCTTTTGCGAGCATGCATGCTGTCCAAAATGATTCCGTCCGTGTTCGACCCTGTACGGGTCTGTGAGCATCCAGCATTGGCCAATAATCACTCCGTCCATGTTCGTCCGAATACGGTTTTGCGAGCTTCCGTCTTGGCCAAGAGAATTCCGTTCATGTTCGACCATGTACAGTTTTGCAAGTAGAAGCAGTATGTTGGCCGAAATAATCCATCCGTGTTCGACTCTGTATGGTTTTGCAAGCGTCCATATTGTCCAAGACAATTCCGCTCATGTCCGACCCTATACGGTTTGGCGAGCATCCATCTTGGCCAAGATGATTTTGTCCATGTTCGCCCGTGTGCGGTTTTGCGAACATCCATCTTGCCCGGGAGAATTCCGTCCATGTTTGACACAATATGGTTTTGCGAGCATCCATTTTGGCCGGATAATTCCATCCATGCTCGACCTTATCCGGTTTTGCGAGTATCCATCTCGGCCAGGATAATTCCGTCCATGTTCGACCCTACACGTTTTGGTGAGCATTCATCTTGGCCATCCGTCGTGTTCGAACCTATACGGCTTCTTCACCTGGCCCTGGAGAATTCCGTCCATGTTCGACACTATACGGTTTTGCGAGCATCCATCTTGGCCAGGATAATTCCGTCCATGTTCGAACCTATACAGTTTTGCAAGCATCCATCTGAGCCATGATAATTCCGTCCGCGTTCGACTCTGTATGGTTTTGCAAGCGTCCATATTGTCCAAGACAATTTCGCTCATGTCCGACCCTATACGGTTTGGCGGCATCCATCTTGGCCAGGATGATTCTGTCCATGCTCGACCTTATACGGTTTTGCGGGCATCCATCTTGCCCGGGAGAATTCCGTCCATGTTCGACATGGTTTTGCGAGCATCCATCTTGGCCAGGATAACTCTGTCCGCATTCGATCCGGTACGGGTTTGTGAGCATCCATAAGTGGCCAAGATCACTCGGTCCATGTTCGTCCTAATACGGCGATGCGGTTTGGCGAGCATCCATCTTGGCCAGGCTGATTCCGTCCATGTTCAACTGTATACGGTGTTGCGAGCTTCCATCTTGGCCAGGAGAGTTCCGCTCACGTTCGACCATCGACCTATACGGTTTGGCGGGCATCCATCTTGGCCAGGATAATTCCGTCCGTGTTCGACTCTATATGCTGGAGCAAATGCTCTGCCAGCACAAGCTCAGGAAGCTTCCGCTCAGAAGACACGTCCAACATGGCCCAGTACAAAGCCTTGCGACCAAGTACATGTTGCGCCATGCTCTCTGCAGTCTGCCTGCTCAACATGCCTCCTTGACGTGCTCCCGCTTCATGTAGTTGTCGAGCTTGTTGTTCGCGTCGAGGTCGTAGTTGGGTCATGAGGGCGTTGATCAAGCAGTCGGCACCTTCAATCTTCTCCATCGTTGCCAAGTCCAGACCTTGCGCTATGCGAATTGCTGGTCTGGTCAAGCCTTCCAACAACCGGAGCCCTAAAGGCCAGAGCTTCTTCCCTCTCATCACCCGGAAGCGTCTCCTCCTTATTGACGTTGGTTCGAATTCGAAAGGTCCACTCGTTCAGGCGGGCTGGGTCTCCAGAAAAACGAGGTACTCATCCAAACTTTCTTCAATGCCACCAGCAAAGGAGCTGATATCTTCGTCCACAGCGAACAGCTCTGGAACGCTTGCCATGGCGAGCGGCCAAACCCTGACACCCTGGAGCAATCAGCTCCACTACCAGTGCCACGCACTGGTGCTCTAAACTCCTCTTGCTTTGCAGCGTGAAGCTTGAGCCCTGTCTGTCTTTGCAAAAGTCCGTCACTAAACTCCGAAACTCCAGTTTTAAAATCCCGAAACCGTATTCTTGTGCCCAGATTCGTGCACCGGAAACGCTTACGTGTGACTCTGGCCCGTCCCTGCCGTAATGCAAAAAACCCTACCTTTGCCAGCACTTTCAGCACTTGCACATGTTCAAACAGCGTTTCGCTCGCATTTCTATTCGGAATACTTTTACGTCCTGTCGCTCTAACCCGGGCTGGCCCATGCCCCAGCCGTGGGCAACGGTAACCCTAAGCTTTGCTTATTTAAGGGGCTGCGCCCAAGGGCGGGCGCAAGGGGCTTGTGATTTAGCCTTGACATGCGCCATCCTAAGCTGGACACTCCAAAAGACACAAAAACACAGTGGACGCAGAGCCGTAGAGCCTTGGGTTGTAGGTCTCATCCCGCCAGTCGAAGGCTTGCGGAACCGAGACCGTCGTCTTCAAAGGACCCTCCGCGATGACCACCTCGAAGGCAGGGCACTACTGACACGGCCTCTTTTTTTCACTTGCACATTACATATATCTATGCTACCCCGGCCCCACATACCTACCCTTTGTGGCCGGCATCAATCGTGCCAACATGTCAAAAAGTATGGGCTCAGAACAGTCAAATAACATCCTAAATGGACGTGCTATCCTAATGGAATATGCACATGCATGCTGGCAGCCATTGTTGAAATCTGCTAAAAGCGTGGGCCCACAACAGTCATCTCCATTCTTATATATATATATTGGCATTTTCTATTTGGCATTTTCTATATGTGAAACATAAACGGTGTGAGAGTATCTGCTCCATATTCTTGATGCCAGGTGCCATGGCGACTCTGCTACTTGGAGTCTGGGTTTTTGCGGGTATTAGGGGGGCGGGTTGCAACTGGTTTGATCATGTTTGGATTTCCGGTCCTGCGGCGTACCTCAACGAATGCGTTTTTGGATATGCTTTTGGATAGTATATACATTTGTCTGGGATGCATGAGGGCATCCTTAAAACTGGAAAGCACGGCCGTTTGCGCTTCCTACAAAAGACCTAGACCTTGTCTTGCTTTCATATGATTCTCAAATGTGCCTTTCGTTCTAGAACGGAACCCGTGCTGTAAAGCATTTTGAACTGCCAAAAATGTTCTTAAAAACACATAGCCTTCTCCGTATGAGTGCAGAGTTCAAGCTCCAGTTGGTTCGATTGAATTTCCGTGATCAAGAAGAGCGCCGGCAAGGAACTGGAGCTTCCACTTCTCTCAAGTCAATTGTATCTTTTTTGTATCTTTATTGCGGAGAAGTGAGTTAGTTCTACTCCATTCGTAGGGACAGAGGTTTGGTTCCACCGGTAGCCTAATTAGGGAGATGTTGGTTGCTTTGGGCTTCAAATGAGTATTGCACTCCTGGGCTCCTGCTCTCCTTATCTTCTCTAGATATATATATGTATAAACTCCTTATCAAATATGCTGTAGATTTATATACGAACTGTCAAGTCTGGGGCTTGTTTTGTCTTTCTTTAAGCCCCTTCCTTGGTATAGTTTGGAATCTTCAATAGCTGCACTAGTCTGAATGATGGCTTATTCCTGTTGGAATTTGAAACACAGTTACCCACCAGGAATTGCGTAAGGCAAAGAAGACCCAAGATTTGCGAAATTTCTTTAACGTTGAAGTAGATTTAATATGGGATTCATGGATAGAAAATAAGGCGACCAGGAGCCCGGGATTTCTGCTTAGAATTTGCAACATATGTAGCAAGGGTCTTACGTTTAACAAAAGCCTTGGATTTGAACACTGTCTTATAAATTTGAACCACAAATGTTAAGGGGTTTATTCAAAGTCAACGTAGTAAGGTTTTTGAAAACAGAAAACAAGCAACTCAGGGCTTACGACTTCCTTTCACTTTGCATATTCAAATAAAGTTATTGTAAGAGAATACTTTGGGTTGGACAAGAAATTCCCTTGTGAAGAAGATCCCATTATGGCTGTGCACATTCTTGAGGGAAAACATGTTTTTTTTGCAATAGTCGCATCTCATTGCGACATGCGTTACAGAAGCAAACTGGAAGTCTTAGATCTTAGGCTTCTGTTCTCCTCATTTGCTGTATGAACTCCTTACTAAATACGCTGTAAATTCATATCTGACTTCTCAAGTCTTGGGCTTATTTGTTATGTATATATAATTATAAGCCCCTTATCTGTATTATTCCCATGGTCTCCAGTAGATGCTGGATTAGTTGCTAATTCCTGTTGAAATCTGAGTCACATTCATTCAGGAACGAGAAAACGAGGCCCCAGACTTTCGAATTCTTCTTTAAACTTGAAATATGCTTAACATGGGATTATCCGCCGACAGGGGTCCCAATTGGCTGATGCTCCTGTACGAGGCGCGCGCGTGCGCGCGTGCGCCTCGTACAGGAACATCATCAGCACAATTGGGACCCCATTTTGGGCAGCTTTCAGTTAAACTAGAAAGAACAGGGTCTTCAAAACCTATAAAAACATCAAAGGTAACAATAAATAACTTTTTCGTGTACTCCTCTCACTCAGGAGTATCAGCAGGGCTGGGGTGGGCTTGGTTTTTACTTGATAGCTGGGTGGGCAACGGGGGCAGCGGCCAGGCCGGCACCTGCCGCGAGGCCCTAAATTGATACAAAGTCAGGCAAACAGGAGCCCAGGATTTGAGAATCCCTGCTTAGCATTTGCGCTTCAAAATCAATGTAGCGAGGGCTTTTGTCAACGGGCATGTGTAAGAGAATCGCGAAATTATCGTGCATGTTCGTAACCAATTTAGGAATGGCCTTTAACAAGGAAAATGCAGAGCCAAGGATTTGAGACTTCCCTCTTGTTATCTAGAGTGCGTGTTCTATCACTCAGAAGCCCTTGCGAAATCAACAGTATTTTTCATATTGAGGAAAAGAAAATACTGGCAGCAATGAAATGATTTCGATCCTGGCACAGAAAAAGATGAACTTTAAGACTCTCTGGTGAAGACGACCATTGGATTTGAGATTTCCTTTCGTACATCTGGGGCAAAGTTATACACTGTCAATTTATCAAAGTCAATGTAGTGAAGGCTTGTGTGAAGGGACCCTAGTAAGAGAATATGAGTGAGTGAGTGAGTGAGTGAGCGGCCCCTGCGGGACAGGGCCATGCCTAAGGCGCCATCCCTCCCGGTTTTGCAGGGGGCTCCGTGCAGTCATCGCCCCCTCCACTTGGAGTTCAGACTGGCAGAGCGCCTCAGGCTCCGAAAGCGTCATTGCCTGGCAGGGGGAAGGGGGAAACGTGCCCGAAAACACGCCCAAGAAGGAAGAGCTAGGAGCGCATGAAAGCAGGCATCAGCCCCAACACAATCGAAATGTAGCCAGCGAGCGGCCCACAACAAAGTCCAGCAAATAGTCAGCAGCAGCGCGGAGAAGTGAGGGCTTAAGCACGGCACCCAAGCAGCCAGCAGCTCGCAACGGCCAGCTGGCAGGGCACCCCAGGCGCCAACCAAGGGAAATGGGACCAGCGGGGCAGCACGCGTAACTAGCAGCAGCACCCAGATAGTTAGCAGCATCGCCCAAGTAGCCAGCAAAGCGCGAAAAGTGAAATGCCCAGCGAGGCAACTAAGTTTCCAGCAACTCGCGAAAAGTGATAAGCTCAGCGGAGCACCCAAGTAGCCAGGAACCGCTCGCGAGTGAGCGACGCCATCCAAATAGCTAGCAGCACGCGAGAGGAGCCCTGTGGCCATTGAGCAAGAGGCGCAGCAAGGCGCCCAAGAAACCAGCAGCACGCGAAAAGAGAAACCCAGTAGGGCACCCAATTAACTAGCAGCACGCAAAACGTGAAAGGCCCAGCAGGGCACCCAAGTAGCTAGCAGCAGCTCATACTTGAAAAGGCCCAGCACGGCACCCAAGTAGCTAGCAGCACGCAAAAAGTAAAAGGCCCAGCAGGGCACCCAAGTAGCTAGCAGCACACGGAAAATCAAAGGCCCAGGGGGGCACCCACGTAGCTAGCAGCATACTTGAAAAGGCCCAGCAGGGCACCCAAGTAGCTAGCTGTACGTGGAAAATGAAAGGCCCAGCAGGGCACACAAGTGGCTAGCAGCACACGGAAGATCAAAGGCCCAGCGGGGCACCCAAGTATCTAGCAGTAGCTCATGCTTGAAAGCAGCAGTGCATAAGTGAAAGTCCCAGCGGGGCACCCAAGTATCTAGCAGCAGCTCATACTTGAAAAGGCCCAGCAGGGCATGCAAGTGGGCTGCCCTTTGTTATAGTTTGAACCAATAAACTCTTGAAGCACACGCTCGCTAAACCAAGGGGCTAGGGCATTAAACGGTTAAACGCATTGGTTTAATGGGTCAATGGTTTAAGGGTTTAATGGTTCAACATGGTTCAACGATTTAATGGTTTAATGGTTTATTAACTGCTTAAAACAGCCCTGATGTTTCGGATCACTTGTCAAATCCTTTAGTTTCATGATGTTATAGTTAACTGGTTTAACTATTTAGCGTTCTACAACAATCGTATGAAAGGAAAGTGCAAGAAATGCAGGATGGCATACTTCGGTACCCAGAAATAAGAATAATCTATGTAATTTCTCCAGTAAGCGTGAGACACGTTTGGAATTCATACAGTATTTAGTGTATTATCTATCTTGTTTACTGTATGTGATTTATTTAACTCATTGAACTTAATCGATCTATTTGAATAAGCCCTGGCGGCCAGCCCAGCGACCTAGAACTTAGGCCTTTACTGAAGAAATGGAACTATGTGAACCATTTATGTTCACTAGCCTTCACTGGAGAAATTACATAAATCAAAGAACGTAAATCATTGAATTGTATACCTCTTGGCTGCCCTCTAGCGTCTAGTTACACAAATTATGTAGAATAGATACCCTAAATACATGATATAAATTGAACAATTCAATTGTTTATCTGACATCCCCAGAGAAGGCTAGAGAAATTTTGTGAACTGAAGAAATTCGGCAGGCAATTTCTCCAGCCTTTACTGAAGAAATAAAGTAGATCAAACACATGAATCAATCCGTTGGCTTCTCCAACTCCTATCTAAGGATTACCTGCTCTCAATCCATCGATGAATCCTAGGCCGCTTGGCTGGCCTCCAGGGTCTACTGAAATAAAATAAATAGGTTGGAAATAATGAACTGAACGTAAAAAAAAACCAAAACATCAGCAATACCAATGCTTTTGCAGGGGTGGAACTCAAAAAGATTGGCAACACCAATGTTTTTGCAAGGGTACCCTCAGAAAACATTGGTCAGAAAACATTGTCTTTTTGCCAATGTTTTTGCAAGGGTGGATGCAAAACATATGGGTTTTGCAATGTTTTTCTAGCCCCGGAGTCAGAAAACATTGGCAGGGCCAATGAACACCAACAAAAAACATGATTTTCAGACTATGGGCTGAGATCCCAAGTCACAGTTTGGACATTCTATTTTTCTATACATCTTTCTTGGCCATGCCAAGGTTTGCTGCAATTGTGGCTGAAAGCATTGGCGAAACCAATGTTTTTGCAAGGGTGGAGGCAACAAAACATTGGCTTCGCAAATGGTTTTACAAGGTAATGCAGCTTCAAGTTGCTGCCTTGATCTGACTGGAAACAATGAGCAACAAAAAAAAGGGTAGGTACGTTGTGGGGGGGGGCACCATATGTATGTGTATATATATATATGTATATATCTACCATATTTACCAGTATATAGATGCTGGTGGGCAGGGTAGGCTCCCCTGCACTTTTCAGCGCGGCCAGCTCTTCTGCCCGGCGCTTCTCCTCTTGCTTCGCTGATCAACAGTTGAATGAAGCACTTTTCAAGCACTGAAGCAGCGTTCTTCGCTCCCACTCCGATTAACATTCCGATTGACGCTCCGCAAAGCGCTCTGATGCTCTCCTGCAAGGTTTCGGGTGCTAGGGATCTGGAGTCCATTTGGACCAAGTCCTGCGAATAAGAGCAAAAATCTTCAGCAACTTCGAAGGCGCAAAAACATTGAGATGCGAAGGGCAGCGGTCCTGTGCACCCAGCTCTCCTGTCAAAATGCGTCCTCAGCCAAAAGCTTGAAGCCTCTCCACATCTTGAGAGGCGGCTCTTCTTCAAGCGTTGTGTGGTTCTTCCTTTCTTTTTAAGATATGTTCTTTGCTCCTTTGTTATTCGCTCCGAGGGCTCGGCTCCGGAGCGCCTCGTTCTCGGGCTGCATCATGTTATGCCGCAGCATGCGGGCGTGGGACCGGTAGTCGCTGGTGGCGCCTGGGATGAAAGAAATGCCGAAAGACGACTTATTATGTGCGCAGCCATGCGCAGCCTTTGCGTTTGCGTGTCACGGAGAGATTTGTCTGCGAGTTCCAGGAATCTTTGAGGTCTTGGCCAGCGTAGAGCGTGTAGAGGGCCGCCTCGATCTCCGAAGCCACCGTGGCCTGGGACCTGATCGTCACCGTCAAAAACTCAAAAACGCTCAAAGAAAAACAATCAGGCAACAACTGGGCAACTTTGAGCTTCCAGCGAGGCTGGCGTGGCTTCCAGGCCCTGCTTGATCAGCTCTAAGACCTTCACCTTTCTCAAAGATCCAGCACTGAGGATCCTTCATCTAAGCCACAACTCGGCTTGGGCACCCCACCCGCAAAGCTTTGTTTGCCGGCGTATCCTGCACCGCCGGCTTGGGCTGCTGGCGCCACCTCCTCGGAGCAACGAGTCTCAGAGTTGAGACATGTTGAGACGTTGAAGGAGGAGGTTCTTCCCACGCCCTCTCGGCTCTTGACGTTCTTTCGAAGCTGTGAACAATGTGTGAAATGCAGGCCAAGGCTTCTTCAGACCAAGCCACCTCGTCAAGGCCTGGGTGGGCGCCCGGAGCTCCGCGGCCAAGGCGGATTTCTCTTGGCTGCACCAACCTTTAACTCGCGAAGCGCAAAGCAAAAGCGAAGCTGAAATTTTCGACTTCTACTGCAATATTTCCTTTTTCAAAAAGCGATTTGCTGTCAAACTTGGGAGCGGGCGATGCAAGCGATCGAAGGCTTTGCCGAGGATCTGCCGGTGCTCCCACCTTGCTACGTTGTTGTACCCTTTGAACCTTACTCCCCGGAAGAGCTTCTTGAACTGTGAAACTCTGAGGGAGCGTTCTTGAGGCCCCGGGCATAGTCGCACGTCCTACTGCCAGAGCTGTCAAGCATCGCAGGCCTCAGCACATGAAGGCACTGAAGGCACTGGCGAAAAAGGCTCCAAGTTCTGGGCATCCCTCAAGGATACTCCGGGCACCCTGCAAGCTGAGATCCTCATGCCCGCCTGGCACTGGCTTTGAAGACGCTTTCAACCGCAAAACACTGCACTAACAAAAGTGACTCTGACAGGCCTCTTGATGTTCGCTGATCGGCCCGGCCTTCGTGTGCTTCAGGAAGTGTGGGGAGAGATTGTGAGATGACTCCGAGGATCTGAAAGAAGTTCAACTATTTGAGTGAGCTCATGCTTGCACGCTTTGACTTAATTGGGATGATTCGATGCATCCGGCCATTAGGCAGAGAATGCGGGCATCATGAATTATGAGCAAATGGCAGCTTCCTTGCTGGATCGGGGCCTCGAGCACTTGCACGGCATCGCTCAGCAACTCACCTCATCAACGCAGCAACTCAGCAACTCTATTTGGGTGTTTTTCAAACCTCTGTTTAGGGGCAGGCCCAGCAAGGGGAGGCCCTGCGCCTAGAGTCAAGCTTTCAGGTATTGAGCAATCTTCACTTTCTCCCAAGCCGCGCGCCACAAAAACTCCACGGCAAACACGAGTTGATCGTGACCTCAGGTAGAAGGCGGCTCGAATGTTCAGACTCAAGACGTGGACGGCATAACCCAAGAGGCTCCGGCACGTAGACCAGCAGCAAAGCGACGCTCCTCAGGCGCCTCGAAGATGCGTTCCGCACGGTTCCGCAAAAGTTGGGGCAGAGCCGGGGGGCCGCCTGGTGCTGCCCCAAGAAACAGTTCTTTCCTCGCAGAGCTCACGGAGCCTCCAAGGAGGAGGGAGAGAAAGGAGAGAAAGAGGTCGCTTTATAAAAACTTCGCATTTTCTTCGCTTTTGCTTTGCTCTTGGCTCCCTGCAAGCCGGGCAGCGAGGCCTCGCAAGGGCAGCAGCTGCAGCAGCTGGCAGCTGGCTGCAGTGCTGCATGGTGCTCAGATGTGCCTCATCCAGTTCGTTTGCCAGCCGGGAAGCAAAGCGCTGCCTTTGCTGCTCCTGGAAAAAGTCCACTTCAGCATTTCAGCATTTCGAACCTTTTTGCTTTGCGGCTTAGCCCAAGCCCGCCCTCGTAAACCCGCCCGTGTGCCGTGCCGTGCCTCCGGTGGCAATGGGGCCTCCTCGATCCTTAAAGACACGGCCAAAGAGACATATGCCGGCGCACAACTCTCAATGGCTATCGGCATCGCATGAATCTGTCTTGACTCAAAAGCTGCTAAGCCAAAGCCAAGCCAAGCCACGGCTCGGCATCCTGCGGAAGGCATAACATATCATAGCATGCTGCCGGCACTGCAGAATGCTGTTGAACTCTCGTGTCGTGTCGTCCTGGACATTCAAATTCCCGATGAAGGCTTCTAAGCGGTCATCGAAGCTGGATTGCCGAACTAGCTCTCGCCGATTGGGCGTTTTCGGAGTGTTCGGTGTCGGTCTTTCAGCTGCTTGGGCCCCTTCTTGGGCAGCTTTTGCTGGATCCGTCTCAGCCGCTTGGGCCTTCGGAAGCCAAGCCTGAAACGGGCTCGTGTGGCTCGGCTGGCCCGCCAGCGTCGCTGTTGGCGCCGCTGTTTGCGGCGAGGCCTCCGCCGTTTGCGGCGCCTCGGAAGCTGCGACCTCCAGGCACACGCGCTTGGCGGGCCGGCTGGGTTGAGCCTGGGAGGTTCGCCGCTCCACCGCAAGCAGGACCTGACTCACGACGTCTTAAGGTCCCTCTGAGGAGAAAAATTGGAAAGTCAGAAGAGAAGTTCGGCTCACTCTGAAAATCTCTGAGATCGCGAGCCGCGGCGCGCAGCTCGTCGGCGAAGGTCATGGGCGCAGCATCAGCGCATGCCACGCATGCTGAAAGTGGCACACGGCCACACGGTGTCACAGTGCGAGTTACAGTTGCAGTTGCAGTTACAGCGGTTACATTTTTACTGGCTCAGCGCCTAGCGCACTCGTTGAGATTCCCAGCTACGGTGACGTTGTTCTCATGCTGATGAGGTGCTGGGCTGATACAGGGCCTTTCCAAGCAAGTATCTCCATGTCTCCGGTTCTGCTTCTTCTTCTTCTTCTAGAACTTCTCTCTCGCTCTCTCTGGCTCTTGATCCGTTGCTTGCTAGTCCTGGAAAACAGCTGCAGTTGTGCCCAGGAGGAGGCAATGTAATAGAATACAGGACAGGACCTTGGACCCTACCTCTATGCAGAAGTGGGCTCCCTAAGCAGGGTTATACTTGCCTGAAAAGGGTGGCTGCCTGCCCTCGCAGGTGTCAGTATCTGCTTATGGCGGCATACAGGACAGAGCTTGCAAAAGTTCAGTACAGTAGTACACCGGTTAGGGCCATATGGGCCATGCTTGTCAAGCTGCTGAACCTGAGCAGCCCTTCCAAATGTAAAACCAAGAAGTGGGCTGCAGTACTCAAGATCTCAAGGCATGAGCATCCTTGAAAAGGGCCCTGTTCCCAACTGAGCGCACGTTGAGCTGTGCACGCTGATTGTGGCCTTGGCTCCATTCAACTCTAGCAGCTTGGTTGCAGAGTGCAAAGTGCGCATTTGACGAGATGCGTATCACTCTAGCCAACAGAAAATGTTGCAGACACAGATTCCTGTGCCAGATTCAAAAAGGCTTCCTGCACGGCAGCAGTTATCAGTATTGTCCTTCTACTGATGGCTTGATAGAGTTTGGAAGGAGTCTGCAGAACTTGAGAAACGTCATGCGTGACGATGCGTGAGAGCTGCGCTGAGTCCTTCTTTACGCCTCTGGGCCGGGCCGGGCGCTCTCTGAGACACAGCTGGTCTGGTCCAGGACTGCCCGCTTCGGGGGCCTGAGATTCGCCTACTTCCCCCAAACACCAACTCTTCGACGAACTCTTGGTTGTCTTCGCGGCTCTAAAGGAAACTGAGCTTTAACTCTTGCCGCTTTCACATTGGGTTTGGGATTTTGGGAGAGATGAGATGGGAGGAGCTCTGAAAGAAAATCTCTCCTCCCTCGAAAAGGCCAAGGAGACGAGCCTGTGCAGAAGACAGGACAGACATATCTATGCCACCCTACCCCTTGGCCGTGAATGAGGACTCTGGGCACAAGCGTTTCAGTTTCTTGTGTGCCTTCTCTTGTCACGCACTGCGCCCAGAACGAGCCTCCTTGAAAAAACAGAGCTGGAGCCTTTCTCTGCTTTGTTGCTCCGCTTTACTGGCCTTTCCTCCCTGACGGTTAAATGTCATGCACAGCCTATCAGGGGGAACGAATTGTGAAAAACTGGTTTCTCCTCTCCGGGTCAGAAAGCATCCACTTTGGAGAGCTGCACAGCTGCACGTTGCTGCACCGCTAAGCTCTGAAGTCATTAACGGGCCTTAACGGAACTGATCCCATTTGCAGCTCACGATGCTCGACCCCAGAGATGGGCTCAGCTCAGCTCACAGCAGACTCAACTCCAAACAAATTCACCAAAACCAAGCCTAAAACTTAGCTTAATCTCGAAGAGCTTATTCCCCTCGAGGATTTGATTTGTGCTTGCAGTGAGCTTTTTCAGGCAGCAACCTTGCGCTGCGCTTCGCCCAAAAGCGGCGAAAGCCGAAAGATTACTCGAAGGATGCAAGATGCAGACGCCCGAAGGCCTCGAAGGCCGTCCGGGCGGGGGTGGTGAAAAAGCCGCTAAGTGTGGAGCAGGCGGCTAAGTTGGGCTAAGTGCCTCCACGTTTTAGGTGAACTCCCAAACACCAGGTGCGACTCACAACGACTCGCCACCGAGCCACCGAGCCAAGCACACCAGTTTGATTCACGTGATACGTCGTGTAGGGGATGTGATCGGTTCTGGTCTCTGTGCTTCGGCCGGTGCTTTCACGGCTCGCTCGGCTCGGCTCACGGGGCCAGCGCCGCGGGGCCCTGCAGCGTCCAGTCCAGGTGCCGCTCGTACTCGTCGATGGCCTCGACAGAAGAACACCACACCACGCACTTTTAATACTCTTTATCACGATCCGTGGAAGAGGGACTGAAAAACTGGGGTTCAGAACACAGCAAGGCAGCAAGGAGTGGGAAGGAAAGAAGGATCAATGAGGAGAAAGGGCGAGGGCTACACACGGTGCACCTGCGGCCAATAGTAATTCTTCTGCAGGCCTCAGTCGCATGACACTTCTCAATAACAGGCCTGGCAAGCCTCTCATGGCCCTCTCATCGCCTTTCTCGAAATCTTCACAGGCAAGCAGCCGTTCAGCTGGATTTGCCTGAAGAGTTCCGGCTTCTTGTGATAAACCTCCAGAGCCTTGCACATGGACAGCGAACAGCGACAAGCAGAGCAGGTAGAGATTTTTTCAGCACAGCCGGCAGCCGGCAGAATCTGCCTGGTAAAGGCGCTCCATGAATTGGTTCTCGTCGAAGCCCGAGAACAGGAACCTCAAAAGCAAACAGCAGGCATTTGACGTGTAAAGACAAGATGTCCTTCAAAATGTTGTTGTAGATCTTCATGTGAACACACAGACACACCGACATATATATATCTATATACATATATGTATGTTCGCCCCCCCCCCCCC